CAGCTCCACCCACTTGGCTAACAGGGCAGTGTGAGGAGCCATGCTCCAGACTGGCTGCTTGGTGTCAGGGTGGGACGTCCACCTGAACAGGGGATGTGTTCACAGAGGAGGTCAGCAGTGAAAGGGTTGCGGTGTGCAGGTACAGCGCAGGGTGACCGGGGCACATAGGGCTCTTCTGCTCCTGACACCTGCGACCTTGGCTCCAGAGGGGGCCACATAGGGAACTCACCCCTCCAAGATCTGCATCTCAGTAGCTTTTCCAGGCGATGGTGAAGGCATGGGGACTCCAGCTGCACTGTGTGGAGCAGTGCTGGCACCCTGGCACAGTGCTGAGCAGAGACAGTGTGGGCACAGGCAGTGTGCTGGGCTGCGCTGAGACCTGTGGGCTGCTGATGCTGTATGTGCTGGGACCCACGGGCTGCACCGTGACCGTGGGCTGCTGACGCCGTACGTGCGGGGTGGGTCACCAGGGCTAGCTGGTGGCCTGTACTGAGGTTCAAGCTTGGGGGATGCTGGGAGCAGGCAGGCAGACATGGAGGCTGTGCCTGGTGTGTCGGGTTGAGTGTGCTGATGGTAGTGTGGAGTTGGGTGTGGTGTGTGGCTGAGTGTTGTCCCGTTGGCGTTGTGTCACTGCCATTTATTTGTGTTAAGGTTTCCTCAGAGGCCTTTGCAGCAAGTGAACTCCAAGTAGTGTGAACAAACTCCTGAACCTGGGTTAAAACCCAACAGGGATCTATTGGGTCAGTTGGCGCAGGAGAGAGCTGGCAGCAGTGAGGACAGTTTGTCCTGTGCATCCACGAGCAGACCCAGAGACAACCCAGCCTGCCCTGTCTAGGGCTCTCCCTCCCTCTCCTTCCCTAGGCCATTCACCAAGCGCATGTGCCTCGTGCTCTGCTCAGAGCCCCCTGGAAACCTGCTGTGTGTAGTGACACAGCACAAGTTGCTGCCTGGTCCTCTCAGGGAGTGTTAGGGAAGGAGAAGGCCTGTATGGTGCTTTATCCATCACTTTACCTGCCAAGGGGACTCAGCGGGCTGAAGTCCTGGGTGGAGATGACAGCTTTTTTAGACACAGTGATGCAGTTGGAAATACAGGTGTGCTGTTAGCTTTTGGAAAGGGCTCAAGAATGTATCATTTTCCTCCTGACTGATGAGTTGTTTTCCTAAAAAATTTGCCTCTGCCTAAAAAAAGAAAGGGCAGGTGAAAGACACTGGAGAAATGATTCCACCTCAGAGCCCTGAGGATGGCTATAAATAACCTTGTGTTCCTGCAGCAGGCTTGGGGGTTGTGTGTCTGTAGCTCCTGGAAAAGGAGTGTTCCTCACTCAGCTGTGGAAAGTAAATTCCAGATACAAGCAGTGTGTTCCCACCTTTCTGGGACGTGATGGAGGAGTGTGCTGTGGCCCATGAGTGCCAGTGGCTGCACAAAGCTGGGACAAAGGCACGGTGCCAGGTCATGGTTTGTCCCCTCGTGGCCACTGAGCAGCTGTGGGCCAGGAAGGACAGAGCCCAGCCAGCTCTCCAGCAGTGACAGTGGGAGCAGGCTCTTCCCCACAGCTTTGGGCTGCATATCTCCCACCGGTGCTGGTGAGGTGGGAGAGATGAGGCTTTAGCCAGGAGATGGAGGAAGGGCTGGTACTGTTGTGTGTCCAACCTCCTCTGGGGAATTACAAGGGCTGGAACACGAGCTGTGATGAGGACAGGCCCTGGTGGTCTCTGTCAGTGCTGTGGAACCCAGCACTGCTCCCAGCACAAGAAAGATGTTGATGTATTGGAGTGAGTCCAGAGGAGGCCACAGAGATCCTCTATGGAGGTAGTAGGATCTGGAGGCTATGGAGGGCTGTGGAGGCAGGTTGGGAGAGCTTTCTGTTTGTACACAAGGAACACGCAGCCAGTGCTGCTCCTGTGGGCTCTGCCCTGGAGCCAGCATTGGTGGAGGGGTTCGGCCTCCAAAGCGAGTGTGGTCTCAGGTTTGTCAGGAGGTGCTGCTGGCTGCTTCTGGGACTTGAGGTGTTTTCCAGGCTCTGACTCCTCCTCTGCTGAGCCTGGTTTCATTTGGGAAGTCTGTCTGACCAGCTTCTGGAGCAGGTTGGGATGTAAATGAGCTTTTGGGAGCCCTGTGGCAGGATCGGGGTGTTTCCTGCACCGCTCAAGCTGTGCCAGATTGCTGCAGCCTCTGTAAGCCTATTGCAGCATGCTGCCAATTCCATAATGTGCAACAATTAATTGTGTTCTCATTCAGTCGGGAATGTGGATGATATCCTGCCATCAGCTCCTTATCCACACAGCTTGCAGCACACCTCGAGGTGCTGGCATCTGCCCTTGGTTATATTGTCCTGTGCAGCCTTTGCCCTCCAAAAGGGTGTCTGGTCCCTGGTGCTTCCCTTGTCCCCCCCCCATGCCTCGGCACAGGGGACGCTGAAGGGATTTTTGTGCTCCTGCAGGGCAGGAAGGAGTGTCCCAGCCAGCACTGCCCTTGGGTCGTCCGCTCCTTCCCACCCAGGGCTCCTGCTGTTAGAGCTGCTGGACACAGGCAATGTCGGGACCTCGGGCAGCAGAACAAGGTGAAAGGGAAGGAAGAGCTATAAATCTTCCTGGAGGGAACAGGGTCAGCATGGCAGGATCCTTGTTGGGATCTCGAGGGTGACCATGGTGACCTGATGATTTCTCCCCTCTGTCTGCAGATTCGTTTGTGAACAGCCAGGAATGGACCCTGAGTCGCTCGGTGCCTGAGCTGAAGGTGGTGAGTACTTGCAGCTTGTGCCTCGAATACCCCAGATTTCCCAAATCCCCAAGGAAGTCCCACGTTTTCATGGCCTTGACATTGCCCCTTTGGGTGGTACAGAGTCTGTGCTGTGGGCACAGGGGAGGCCTGGAGGGCATGTCGGGGTGAGTGGGATGCTACAGGTGCTTCCTTGTTTGTGTCTGTTCTCAGAGCCCTCAATGATGTGCTCCCACTCTGCTCTGCCTGCGTGCTCTGTGCCAGCCTTCCTCTCCCTTGTCAGGCTCGTGGCATGTCCCCTTCAGCCCTTTCTCCCTTGGGCCTTTTCTCTCTTGGGCCTTTGTAAGATTAACTTTTTCCAATATTACTTCAAGAAGCGAAATAACAAAATTAATTTTGCAGAACATCCAGCACCATCCTGCCACAATGTTTCTTACCTGCAGCTCAAAGAAAATCAAAACAAACTTTGAATATTTATTTGTTAGTATGGCTGTGAAATGTGTTTTCAGAAACATCCTCACAGCTGTTCTGTCTGTTCAGGCTCTGCAGGCTCCAAAGCCTTGCTGCGAGCTAAACCATCCCAAAGCTTTTAGTTCTCAAGTAGCACAGCCCTTTTCCCATGTTTTCCATGACCTCTGGGGATCTCTGTTGCTCCAGGATTTCATCCGGCTGATGCAGCTCTCCAGAGTCCTGGTTCATGGGGTCACAGAATCATTTGGGTTGGGAAAGGCCTCAGAGACCATTGAGTCCAAGTGTTTCCCCAGCACTGCCAAGGCCACCACTAGCCATGTCCCCAAGTGCCACATCCAATGGCTGTTAAATCCCCCCAGGGTTGGTGACTCCACCCCTGCCCTGGGCAGTCTGTGCCAGAGCTGGACAGCCCTTTCCAGGAGGAATTTTCCCAATATCCAACCTGAACCTCCCCTGGCACAGCTTGAGGCTGTTTCCTCTTGTCCTGTCTCTTGTTCCCTGGGAGCAGAGCCTGAACCCCCGCATGGGTGCACCTCCTGTCAGGCAGTTAGAGAGAGCCAGAAGGTCCTCCCTGAGCCTCCTTTTCTCCAGGCTGAGCCCTTCCAGCTCCTTCAGCTGCTGCTGGTGCTTCAGACCCTTCCCCAGCTCCATTCCTTTCCATGGACACTTTACAGCCCCTCATTTTCTCTCTTTTCGTGCGGGGCCCAAAACTGATCCCAGCAAGAAATGCTCCCAGACTTTGCTCCGTTCCCATTTTCAAGTAACTCCATGTGCTCTGTCCCTCCTGCAGGAGGTGATGGTCTCACTGCTCGCCCTACTCATGTTCCTGAGAATTCAGGGTACTTTCTCCAGGTGTTTTTGGAACAGTTTGATGTATTTATGTTCAGCAGTTTCCCCACCTTGGTTTTCCCCCGAAGCTCCCTCCCAGTGCTGCAGGCTGAGGAGGCTGTGAGTGAGCAGTTCCTGCAGACAGGCACTGCTTGGTGCCTTCTGGCAGGACTCATCCTCTGACCCTGGCACTGGGCAATGCAGCACAGTGCTGACTGCATTCCCTCCTTCCCCCAACAATCATGGAACAGAGGTGCCCGTGGTGCATACACGCCTTGTTTGACTCCAGTTTGTTGCCTCCTGGGGGTTCTGTTCCTCAGGACTGTCAGTTCTGTGGGGGCTGGTTTGTAGCTCCAGGTGAGCTAGAGGACAGGGCAGGGCAGGTGGATTTCAGTGAGACGCAGGTCAGGGTTTGGACTATGTGCAAACAAAGTGTAACTGCAACCTCTGGCCAAGTTTTAGAGCTAAATGCCACTGGAGTGTTTATCTTGTGTGGGGCCCTCACTGCCAGGCAGCCTTGGGAGCTGCTATGTTGGCAGAGGTGGCCCCAGGACGAGGACCCATGGCCAGCCTGGCACAGAGCTCCCAATCTGCCTGCCCAGTGCAGGAGTCTTCACAGTTTCTTCTGTGGTGACCTTCAGTACTCCCACCTGGAGTGCTGTGTCCAGGTCAGGGGTCTCCAACACAAGAAAGATGTTGACCTGCGTGAATTGAGTCTAGAGGAGGCCATAGAGATGCTCTGAGGGCTGATGCACCTTTGCTCTGGAGACAGACTGGGGGAGCTGGGGGTATTCAGCTTGGAGAAGAGAGCGGTCTGGGGAGACCTTAGAGCCCCTTCCTGTGCCTAAAGGGGCTCCAAGAGAGGTGCAGAGGGACTTGGTACAAGGCCCTGGAGGGACAGGACAAGGGGGAATGGTTTCCCACTGCCAGAGGGCAGGGTTAGATGGGATATTGGGAAGGAATTCTTCCCTGTGAGGGATTGGAATGGATTTTCCAGAGAAGCTATGTCTGCCCCATCCCTAGAAGTGTTCAAGGCCAGGCTGGATAGGCCGTGGAGCAACCTGGTCTGGTGGAAGGTGTCCCTCCTTGTGGTGGGGGGTGGAATGAGTCAAGCTTTAAGGTCCCTTCCAGCACAAACCAGTCTGGGATTCCATGATTCTGTGACTGTCTCCACCCAGTCCGACCCCGGGGGCAGGGAGGGGTCAGTCCGAGGATGAGCTGTTGCTGCTGTCTGTAACTCAGCCACAGTGTTGATGCAGCCCTGTGTCTGCATAGGTTGTGTGGCTCCAGAGGCACATGTCCCGGGAGAAGAACAGCCCAGTCTGTTCTCCCTGTTCTCACCTGCCTGAACACACTGTCAGGATCTGTAATTGCTGTGGCAGTGACAGCCCTGGCAGCAGTGTGTGCAGCCCAGGCATGCCATGGGAGCCTGTTGGTCTGTGCTCCAGAGTCCTGACTCTTGGCACCCCAGTCCTGCCGGGTGCTGGCTGTCTGGGCACAAGAGGTGTCAGCACACAGGACTGTGTCCTGCACCTGGTAGCATGGTCTGTGCCATCAGAATGGGTGGCTGCCATGGGGCTGGTGCCTCTCTGCCTCTCACCGGGAGTGTGTAGGTGGCCCAGGGCAGGATCTGGGACAGGACCCAGAGCAGTGGGAGTGTTAGAGCACTTGGCTGAGAGCTGGAGAACCTGCCTAGTGGTGACTCACCTGCCAACCTCATCCCTGTGCCTGGAAAAGTTTGGCTGTAAACTTCTCTTTGGTGGTAGAGGCAGCTATAGTGTTCCCAGCCACTCCTCACCCATGTCTTTTGGCACTGGTGTGAGTGTGGCTGTGTGTGTGGTTGTTTGTGTGCAGCTGTACAGAATCACAGAACTGTTAAGGCTGAAAAAGACCTTTAAGATCATCAAGTCCAACTGTCAGTCAGCATCACCACCATGTTCACCATTAAACTATGTCCTGAAGTGCCACATCCACATGTTAAGGACTCCAGGGATGGTGACTCTCCCCCTGCCCTGGGCAGCCTGTGCCAGGGATTGACAGCCCTTTCTGTGAAAAAATTTACCTAATATCCCACCTAAACCTTCCCTGGCACAACTCAAGGCTGTTTCTTCTTGTCCTGTCACTTGTTACCACCCACCTGCATTTCATAGCAAATCCGAGGGTGGTGCAGACCGGCAGACCCCAGCTGGATGTGCTTCTACCCTGTTAAATTCTGGGCAGCCTGTGCCAGGGATTGACAGCCCTTTCTGTGAAAAAATTTACCTAATATCCCACCTAAACCTTCCCTGGCACAACTCAAGGCTGTTTCTTCTTGTCCTGTCACTTGTTACCACCCACCTGCATTTCATAGCAAATCCGAGGGTGGTGCAGACCGGCAGACCCCAGCTGGATGTGCTTCTACCCTGTTAAATTTGGTGCTCAGTATCTTTATCCTTCAGCTCTGTTGAACGTTGGTGCTGGTTGTTTCCGTGTGGGCATCACCGCCAGCTCTGCTGGGAGACACATGCAGTGCTGCTGCACACGAGCACACAATGTGCCTGTACTCAGCATGTGGATGGTCTCTGCTCTCCTTCTCCAGGCAGGTGTTGTCCAGCGCTGCAGCCCCCCCAAAACGGGGAATATGTGGGCTGGGAGAAGAGTTTTTTTTCCTCCTGGGTTGACTTGGGAGCGGGAGGGCTGTGGGAAGAGCTGATGCTGCGCTGACGGGGCTGTGTCTGTTTGGGGGAGGTTGAGGGCCCTCACCACCCTCCATCTGGACAGCTGCACCTCAGTCCCAGCTGCTCTCTGCCCAGCTGAGCCCATCAGTACTCCCACCAAGTACTGGGCTGGATCACGATATCCCTGTGTTCTCCTGGAGACACCTCTGCCCCTCATCAGCATGTGCCGGGGCAGTGTCAGTGTCACCTCACAAGGGGTTGCCTCATGTGGAGGGACACGTGCTGGGCACACAGGTGACATGTGTCTCTGTTCTAGGGCATCGTGGGGAACCTGTCCAGTGGCAAGTCAGCCCTGGTGCACCGTTACCTGACTGGCACCTACGTGCAGGAGGAGTCCCCGGAAGGTAAAGTCTGGTTCCTAGGGTGCCTGGGGGTGAGCTGGGTCCCTGCTCCTCTTCCTGGTGTTGAGGGTGACCCCTGTCCCTGTGCCTCCTCCACTGCTCCCATCTGGCTCTGCAGCTCCCCTGGCCCTTCTTTGGTGTGTCCCCTGCCTGCTCCACCCTCGCTGACCAGCGGCTTTGCTCTCCTCCCAAGGTGGCCGGTTTAAGAAGGAGATTGTGGTGGATGGTCAGAGCTACTTGCTGCTGATTCGAGATGAAGGGGGCCACCCGGAACTCCAGGAAGGAGACCTGTCTCTCGTACAGTCTCTGCCCATCCCATCCATCCTGGGGAGGGACCTGCCAAGCTGCCTACTGGGAGCCATCCATGTGACTGCCTTCACTGACTGCTCCGAGCATGGGGCTCTAGGCACAGTGCCCTGTGGGTTGGCCATGTGGCTGCCCTTGCTGACTGCTCCGTGTCCGGGGCTCCGACTGCTCGTCAGGGCTGTAATCCTGCCATGTCTCCTCAGTTCGCTGCCTGGGTCGACGCTGTGGTGTTTGTCTTCAGTCTGGAGGATGAGATCAGCTTCCAGACCGTCTACAACTACTACCTGAGGCTCTGCAGCTACCGGAACACGGCGGAGGTGCCGATGGTGCTGGTGGGCACACAGGGTGAGAATGGGGCCCTGGCTTCCCCCCACATCCCTGGTCCTGGCAGGAGCTCTGTTGACGTGTCCCTACTGGCAGGAGAGTGCCAGGCCTGTGAGCACATCGGGGATCCTGGGCTGTGAGCCCGGTGTGGGGCTGAGGGACGCTGAGGCCCCAGCCCAGGGTCCTGAGGAGTGGGTTCCTGCTCAGACCATCTCAGCTTTTCTGTGGAGAGCTGCCTCACTTCGTGGAGCAAATTTCCTCTTAAAAATGCTCGGACCTGCTGGTGCTGTCTCACCCAGCTCTGCTGGCACAGGCAGGAGGGAGCCTGGGGCTGCAGTGTTGTCTGGGTGACAGCAGAGAGCAGGAGCAGGGCATGGATGTGAGGAAACTGTCCTGGCAGGACCCAGTTCCTGAGCAGTGTGACAGGAAAGAAGCTCTGAGGCTGGGAAGACAGGCAGGGACAGTGAGGGGGAGTCACAGAGGGTCTGCTCCAAACTGTGGATTAAGAGTAGAACAAAGATTTTAAATTTAGGATGTTTAAAGATCATGGAATTATTTTAGGGCTGAGTGATCTTGGCTCAGGACAGGACTGGGGTGGCAGCACATGCTGTAGAGGCACAGGAGTGGGGACAAGTGACAGGGGGTTGGTGTCCACTGTTGTCCCAGACATAGAGCCAGGTGAGGTCACAGCCTTGGTACAGTCACACAACCCCCAAGAGCATGGGTCACAGTGCTCCTTCAACCCCTCCTGAGAGGGTTTCTTTGCAGGCCCCTCTTGTCCCTGGCTTGTCTTCAAGGAGCTGGATTCCTCTTGGGAAAGAGGTTTTTCCAAAATAGGCAGCACTTGGCGGCCATCTGGGATATAAATTGAGTCTGTATTTTAGAGCTGTCTACCAAGGCTGTGGGGACATCCCAGCAGAGCTAACTTTCCCATTAACCCAGGAGGACTTCTCCCTGGGATTTTTTACATACAGGGTTTGGCCATGAGCCCTAAAGCAATGGAGAGTGACAAATTCATTTCACTTGGTAGCTAGGGCTGCTTGGCCTTGCCCCCCCCACATCCCACAGAGTTCTGCCTCTGCTGAAACGTCGCTGACTGGGTGGTTCAGGGTGTTGAGTCAGGTTCATTTACAGGCATTCATCCATTTATCTACAAACATGGGATATTGTGAATTCAGGCATTTATGGGGTATGAAGGGAGGGAGGGAGGGAGGCCAGGAGTGTCCTGAGACTTGTGGATAGGTGGGACACAGGTCCTTGCACTTTAACCTCCTGTCCCTTTGGTTTGCAGATGCCATCAGTGCCACCAACCCCAGGGTCATCGATGACTCCCGGGCGCGGAAGCTCTCCAACGATTTGAAGCGCTGCACATACTACGAGACCTGTGCTACCTACGGCCTGAACGTGGAGAGGGTCTTCCAGGACGGTAACTGCAGTTGGGGCAGGGTGTCTGGGCAGGACAGGGCAGCAACGGAGTCCCACAGAGGGGCTTACACCCCTGAAACCACTGACCACGTCCTACCCTGGGCCCAGCATGTCAGGCGCCCACTTGTGTGCAGTGACATTGCTTTACACACACAGATCTGGTGCAAGGAGCAGGATGTGCTTTGTGTGTGTGTAAGGATCCCTGTATGGCATGTGGGTGGGCAGCACGTGAGTGTGCACGAGGGGCTGCAGAGTAGGGCTGGGCAGCATGTTCTGACCCCCCTTACAGGGGCTACCCCATGGGCAGGTGCTCATCCAGTGGGCAGAGAGGCTGCAGGGGATGGTTTCATCTCCATAGGGCAGCACAGCAGTCTGTGAGCCTGTGAGGACTTGGGCTACAGAGAGGAGTTTGGTGGCCTTGCATAGGCAAGAGGAGGAGTCACAGCAGGACCTGGGAGTGTTGGAGTAGAGGAACAGCAGCTGAACAGCTGGATGGGCCAGCTGTTCCTTGTGGGAACAGTGTGGGAGAGGATTTCTGCTTAGGCTTGGAGCAGGGTCTGTGAGACAGTGATACTGAGGAGGGATAGGGAACCTGCACCATCTCCTGGGAGTTTGCAATTTGCTTAAATAAACCAGGACCCTGCCCTAAATGGGACTGTGTGTTCCCTTAGTGACAGGACAAGGAGGAATGGCCTTGAGCTCAGGGAGGACAGGGTTAGATGAGATATTCTTCCCTGTGAGGCTGGTGAGGCACTGGCACAGGTTGCCCAGAGAGGCTGTGGACTCCCCATTATGCTAAGTGTTCAAGACCCGGGTGGACAAGGCTTGGAGCAACTTTGTCTAGTCCCTGCCTATGGCAGGGAATGGAACTAGATGAGCTTTAAGGGCCCTTCCACCCCAAACCAGTCTGGGATTCTGTGATTCTCCTGTCCCTTTTCTCCTTGTCTTGTGGAGTGCTGCTGGGGATCTGTGTTCCATGGAAGGATCTGTGTGGAGCTGAGGGGCCAGGCAGGGTCTGTGTTCAGCATGTGAGGGAGGGTCTGTATGGAGCTCAGGGGCTTGGGCAGGATTCGTGTTCCAGGACAAAACACCTGTGAAATGCTGGGCTCCATCCCTGTCTGGACTCAGCCATGGCCCATAAAAAGGGGTCAGGGAGGAGGAATGGAATGGGGTCATCCCCATGAGGAGCCATAAGGCTGAGGAAACCCAAGAATGTGGCAGTCTGAGACTGGTCACACAAACCTGGTGTTGATGTGAGCATAGGCTGGTGCTGGATGAATAAGGAGCGTGGGCAGCCATGTTGGGAGGGTGAGGCTGTCCCTGGGAGGGGAAGCAGGAGCACTTAGTGGAAATCCAGGTGTATTCATGCCTCCATACAGGGCAGCAGGAGGAGGTGCTGGAGCATGATCTAACCTGGGTGTCAGCACTTCAAAAGGACACAGACTGAGAAGACTAAAAAGAAAAACTACAAAAAATTAATCAAAAGCTGGAAAAAATAGCTGATACAAGACATTAGAAGAGCTCATCCATTCAGGAAATCAAGAAAATTGAAAGGGGACTTGATTATGGGAGTAACTATATACCCATGTACATGGAGAAAGATCCCAGATGGGAGACTGCAGGTTGGGACAGAGCTTGTACTGGAAGCCCCAGACAGATGAATTCAAATTTTAAGGAATTCTTACTGATTTTATTCATAGTTTTATTCATTAGTTGTTGGGGAAAATTCACAAGGAGGTGCTGTATCCTGCATCTCTTGTGCTTTCTCCAAACCAGACCAGTCCCTTTGTGCGGGAGTCGTGGTGTGTGCCCCGGTGGCTGGTGCCATGGTGTCTGTGCCCTTGACGAGTGCTCTTGGAGCTCTGGAGAGAGCAGTGTGGGAGCTGGGAGCTATGAGGGAGCAACCACCCTGTCCCTCAGTGTTCATGAATGGCTCTTCCCACACACGTGTGGTGTTGTGGAGTGTGTGGGATGCTCCAAGACGGAGAAACTGGGATCTCTGCATTAACCAACTGCTCAGGGATTTTCCAAGAACTGGGTGGCCCTGGCTGTTGTGGTGCCACCACACCTCAGGCAGGAGCAGCAGAGACCCTCTGCCCAGCTCAGGCAGGAGAGCACTAGGGACCCTTCATGCAGCTCAGGCAGGGGAGCAGAGACCTCCTCCTCAGAGCAGGTCCTGGGTGTTGGGGCTGGAGTCTGGAGCTGTGTGTGGTTGTGCTGTGCTGGGTCTGGACCAAGCGTGTTAGTTACAGCATGTATCTGATGGTGTTGAGGCCATTGTTGTGGAAGCTGTGTCCCCACAGTCAGGGACTGCTGAAGGTCACTATGAGGACACATGGCAGGAGAACAGGGGTCACTTCCTCCTTGATGGTTTCTCATGTGTACTGGCAGAATTCCTTGCAAGAGACACTGCTGTTTGTGTGGGAACTGTGTTCCTCTGTCCTTCCCAAGTCCCCAGATGTCACAGTAGCTGCTGTGGTGAGAGGATGGGGTGGCCGTGGCATGAGCAGGGACAGTGCCCCAGGCTGGGCTGTGTCCTGCAGTGTCTGGTACTGCTTCAAGACTCCCCAAGGGTGAGCCTGCCCTAGGGTGGTCACCACGGTCCCCTCACAGTAAAGCCTCCACTGAGGCTGGCGCTGGTATGGAATATGCCTTCCAACCACTTGGCTCCGGAGAGGTCCAGTTAAAGATCTTTCTTCTCAGAATTACCTTCATGCTTCCTGTGTGCAGAAATCTCCTGGGGTTCAGTAGATGCCAGGACAGTTGCAAGGAGCCATTGGTGTTGTGGGGCCTCAGCTCTTGGGCTTCATTTTAAGGATGTTTCTGTACCAAGCAAAGATCAGGGAACAGGTTGTTAAGAGCCCCTTGGCTGTGACTGCCTCAGTGACATTCCTGAGGAGGAGGAATGACCCAAGCCTGGACCTGGAAAGGCACAGGAGGGACAGCATCCATGCCGCCCTATGCTGTGGGTGACTTCTGGAGCTTCAGATCTGCAGCAGATCCCAAGTGCACACTCCTCCCCTCCCACTGCCCTGGGCTCTGGAGAGGACAGACAGCATCTTCACAGCCCACAGAACCTGTGGCTGAGGTGCTGGAGGTGTTGCTGCCCTCCATCCTCCTCAGCTGCTGGGCTGCCAGTTGGGCTCCAGCGTGGACACTCAGGGTGGTTCTGCCTCCCCTGCCCAGGGGATTGTTTGGGTTTCTGCAGCCCTGATGGGACAACAGGTGTCCCTTTAGCTGAGGTGTGACATTGTTCATGGCCATCAGGGTGATGGGCAGCATTGCTGTGTCTACCAGGACAGTGGGGATTGGATCTCAGGGAGGTTTTGGCTGGAGCATGTCAATGGAGAGGCCATGGTGTGTCACTGGGGACCCTTGCATGTTCCTCCTCTCTCCAGTCTTGGGGTGTGGGGGTTGGCTTTGGAATACTGAGTGATGCTGTGGTGCTGGTGCCCACAGCAGCACCACAGTAACATTGGGCAAATGTGTGCCAGGCACTGTGGGTCTGGGTAGGGCAGGCCTCACTGGTTGTACATCAGAGCTGTGTGTGGCAACCAGAGACACTGGGATAACCATATGATCCTGGAGGCTGGTGTAAGAGATGGCAGAAATTATCCTGGAAAAGTCTGGTTGATGTTCATGAAGTGGAAGAGCTTGTGCCTGGCACACAGGTGAAGATTTCCTCAAGGTGCCTCAGTTCAGGGCTGGGGAGGTGTTCCACCAGTGTGGTCTTGCTGGCCTCATTGTTATTTCCTCGTTAGTGATACAGGGTGGGAGATGGGCAGAGCCTCTGCTAGGCTCCCTGCCCACGACAGCAGAGACTGAGGAGTTTTTCTGGATCTTCCCTGGCCTTGGGGTGCCTGAGCTTGCAGTGTGCCTAGCCACTGTTGGGAGGGGAGATGTGCTTCCACAGTGGACGCAGCTGGCTAGAGAGGCGAATGGAGTGGGGAGAGCAGGAAAGCAAAAGGTTAATATGGTCTGTTTAGTGGGGGTGGGATGGGTTCCTGCTGTTTATGGGACAAATGTTTAGGTTGGGAGTCTGGACAGGCTCCCAGCTTTGTCAGAACAGCAGCAGTGGCTGTGTGGATCTTTGGTTAGGTCTGTCCAGGATGTGGCACCATGGCTGCGAAGATGCCAGGACTCTGCAGTTGCTGTTGGCATCTGACCTTTCCAAATGAGTTCAGTCACACCACAGGTGTGGTGCAAAATGGAAAAGGAACGTGGCAGCTTTGTTAACTGCATGGCTGCATGGCATGAGGCATGCTGGGGTGGGCATGGGATGTGCCCAGTGCCTGCAGTTGGATTCATCTGGAAGATTGCTTTTTCTTTGATGGTGAGGGTATCTGGCCAGTGTGCAAGAGAAAACCTGGAATGTGGATGTGTTCTCCTGAATTCCCAGCAGGACAGCTTGTTTGCTGTACTGCTGTTGGTTAAGGTGTTTATTTCCAGAAAAGGCAGGAGACTGAGAAGGGCAAAATGCAGTTGTGGGCTGTTGATGCCAGCGAGGTCACAGGAACTGGGAGAGTTACTCTTCACATTAGTTTTATGGATACCTGGAGCCTGTGAGGATCACAAGGGCCCAGACTGATGGAGGTGGAATTGTCCAGGCTGTGCAGTTCAGTATCTGTCTCCTGGAGCATCCACAAGGGGTGACTCAGAAGTGACTCTGGCTGCCCAGGGATTCTCCTGCAGCAGCCCAGGGCTTGGGATGTGTCTCCATGGTGTCCTTGTGAAATCACTGCTCTGTGTGACACCCGAGAGTGGGTGGCTTCTGAGGAGTCATCCTGAGCAGTGCAGACAGTCTGTCTGTGGCCTGTCCCTACGGCTGGCCCACCCTGGCAGCAGGATTGTGGGTTGGGCATTCTGCAGAATCCTTCCTGTGAGTACAGCAGGGCACAATTTGAGCCCCAGGTGTTGGCATCAGTGAGGGGAAGGGCCTGGGTCTCCCTGAAGCCCTCCAGAAGTCTGTGGATGGAGAAAGCTGCTTTCTGAACTCTGACCCTGTCCCTTTCTCCCTTTTCCAGTGGCTCAGAAGGTGGTGGCTCTCCGGAAGAAGCATCAGCTGTCCATCGGCCCCTGCAAGTCTCTGCCCAACTCACCCAGCCATTCGTCTGTCTCCGCAGCCTCCATTCCTTCTGTCCACATCAACCAGGTGGGGAACAGGGAAAGCCAGGGAACTCTTTGTGCTCTCCACACCTGTCAGCTCACTCAGTGTCCAACACATTCAGCCTTAGGCTGCCCTGGGTTGTCTTTTGGGAAGGGCAGAGTGGTGTCATCCTGTGCTTCTGTCCATAGCTATGAAAGATTGTGGCTGCCCTTTTCCTGGAAGTGTTCAAGGCCAGGTTGGATGGGGCTTGGAGCAACCTGGTCTAGTGGTAGGTGTCCCTGCTCATGGCAGGGGGGGGGGATGTATAGGGCTTTAAGGTCCCTTTCAACCCAAACCATTCCGTGATTCTCTCACAGTTTGATGCTTGCCGTGTGGTCAAGTTTTGCATCTAAACCTTTGGGTCTGGCTCATGGTCCTTAGACTTTGTCAGGCTTCTGCAGACACAGAGCAATGCTGTGAGCTGTCTGTGGGGAGCTCTGGGGCAGTACAGGGGGTCTGTGAGAGGGTCTTGCTCTGGCTGCCCTGGAGGACAGGTGGACACAGCTGCCCGCAGTCCTGCTCCCCCTGGATTCAGAAAGACGATGGTCTTGATGCACGTTTCTGAGGGAGGTACCTGTGGAGCAGGGAATTCTGTGGTGAGCTGAAGGAGTAGAACAGAGAAGGAGCTCTCCTCCTCACTGCCAGAAGGGCTCTGTGCTGTTGGTAGGGGCTGGCAGGGTCTCCGTGCTGGGAGGATGGTGGTGTCGTAGGTGTTTGTTCCATGATGCTGGAGCAGAGCTGAGGCAGGAGAGACAGGCTCCACGGTGAGGGGCTGGGGAAGGAGATGCTTTGGGCAGCCACCTCAGTGCATTTGGGCTTTGCTGAATTCCCAGTGCCCACAGAAATGCTGAGTGGGTGACTGGTGAGAAAGGAAGGAATGATCCTGGACTCTACTGCTCCCCAGGGCACTCAAGCCAGCATATTGCAGCTCTGCAGCAACCAGCATATGGAATCACAGGATCTGTGACAGGGTCTGCAGGAAATCTGCCTGTGGCATGGTGCTGTCAGACTGAGGAACAGCCCATGTAGCCGATGGGTTTTTCATGAGGGGGTTGGCTTTGAAGCTCTGGGTGTATCCAAGCCTCCCAGCCCTGGGAGGACTCCTGTGCCCCCACCACGGGACCCTGTCCTTGCACAGACCTGAGCTGTGTCTGCAGTCACCAGCTGTACCCTTACACGGAGGACTTTCAAATGCCCCTGTGAAGTTTATAACTGGCTGTAGAGGCTCCTAAGGCTGAACTGTGAGTGGGCGGGTACAGGTTTTTGCAGAGACCTGTGCCAGCTTCCTGGTCGTCTGGGTCACCTGGACACCAGCAAGTTCAGGTTAAGTTTGTCTGCGGGTGAATGGGCTGCCAGCAGCCAGAGCTGGCAGGGGAGGCTGCATGGCCAGATTCTGTCAGAGCTCACTCGTGTCCAGTGAGCCAGGGATGATTCAATGGGAGACATCCAAGGTGGAGAGCGAAGTTGCAAGAAAATAGAGATTCGAGTGTGTTTGGTGATTTGAGGATTTTATTAGTGACAAACTGTGGATGGTCAGAGCCTGGCTGTGAAGGAGAGGCTGCCTGTGCTGGAAGGGGAGTAGGGGACAGCATTACCTGGGGACACTTGTTCTAGTGTTTTCTTCCATGTCCAAAGCATGAGAAAAGGGTCCCAACAAATATGTGCCAATGGTACTGGCTGTGCCAGGCAGTGTATTCACAGTGAAGCTGAAAACACGTTCCCTGTGTGAGAGGTGGCCAGCCCCCCCAGCCCCCCAGTCCAGTTTGTCATCCATGTGAGTGTGCAAGGAACCTGAAGGAGCAGCAAAAGACAAGTGGGAGGGAAGAGATCCTGAGGCAGGAGGAAGATCAGCACTCAGCTGATTTATCTGAGGAAAGAGTACAGAGGTGGGCCAAACCTGACATAAAATACACAGGTGTGACAGGAAAGAGCTCCTAAAGGCAAGGCAGTGCTGGAGCAAAAGGGGTGGATTTAGGACTGGCCATGGGGAAGCAAATTTTGGAAGAGTTTTCTAACTGCATGTCATGAGCTTTGTGAGGCTTTTGCTCAGATCCGTCCCTGCTTTCCTCTCCTTTCCTTCCCACAGAGCATCTCCCAGCACGGCTTGCAGACGACGTCTGTGTAGAGGTGAATGCTGGCTGCCTGCTCGGGGACAGACCTTTGCTCTCTGTACCTTGCTGTGCTCCTGGCTTGGCTGGAGGGACGTAGGGAGCTGTGGTGGGAAGCAGAGCTGTGAAGGGAAGTAATGCAGCATGCAGCTCGCAGGGATTGCGGCTCGATGGCTTGGTTGTAGCAGTGTCACAGGACTGTGTCCCTCTGAGCATCCTCCCTGTTTCCCCTTCCCAGACCTGCTCTGTGCCTGTCCTGCGCCGTGTCCCTCCTGCCCTCATCGAATCTGGGCCCCACAGGGAGAGTCAAAGTCAATATGTGTTCCCGGGGTCTTGTGTGGCCTCTCCGCAAACCCTCTCGGTCCCAGTGATGCGTGCAGTGATATTTACTGTGGTGTTTGCATGTCCCTCTCCATTGCAAAAGGCACTTCTAAAAAGTGTGAAGCAATGGTGAGTGATCCTAAAATGCCATGAAGTATTTCCCTGTTCTTGCATGGGCTCAGGAGTGTGGCTCCTGAGCTGCTCCCCACTGTCCTCAGTGAAAGTCCAACTGGCTTTGGAAAACAAACTCACCCACAGCTGATGGTTCTGACAGGGACCTGGGCAGAGCAGCCCGCACAACGGATGGGCTGCCTATGGGGTAGGGCACACATCCAGCTGTGAGCAGTACCCAGGTGGGTATTAGGAAGCAGTGTCCAGGTGGTTATTCATGAACACAGTGCCAAGGTGGGTATTAGGGAGCAGTGCCCAGGTAGGTATTAGGGAGCACAGTGCCCAGGTAGGTATTGGTAAGCACAGTGCCCAGGTGGGTATTAGGGAGCAGTGTCTACATGGGTATTGGTAAGCACAGTGCCCAGGTGAGTATCAGGGAGCAGTGCCCAGGTGGGTATTGGTGAGCGCATTGCCCAGCCATCCCCTGCTCCCAGCACTGCCAATACCTAGGGGACAGGTCTGGGAGGGGGTGAACAGGCTGCAGCCTGCCAGGAAGGACCAACGGGAGAGTGATGAGGTGCTTGCAGAGCAGAGCTGTGCTCTGTCATACCTGAGGGCCTGGTGCTCTTGCCAGGGCTTCTCACTTGTCTTTGCAAGTCAGAGAGCAGGAACTGGCACAGGGAAGACAGGGAAAAGGCTCTCAAGGAAGGGTTTGGGAGCACAGGGTTTAACATGGAGATGAGATGGAGAGAAGCCAGACAAAGAACACAGTTAGGAGCTTTTGTTTGCCTTGTGCTGCAGGTATTGGTGCATGCAGGTGAGACACACTGGGATAGAAGATTCTTCCTTTCTTCCCAATACCTCCTGTGGGAATGATGAGACTGGCATTTGGGGGCAGGAGGAGACCCTGGAAGCCCACAGCTCTGTACCTGCAGGGCCTGGTTCTGGTGTTGAGAGGTGCTACCTGCAGCCACTGCCCTGTCTGGTGCCAGCGCTGCTCTGTCCCATCTCAGGATTGTGTTGTTCCCTGGGTGGGCTGCCTCTCTGGGTGCTGTGAGCATTCTCTTCCCCTGGATTGTCCCTCAGCCTTCTGCCCGGATCTGTCATTGAGGTCCGCTTCCCTGCATAGCTTTGTGCCCAGAGAGATGGTGATGCCACCTGAGGTGGAAAGGATGTTCTGCTCTGGGCCTGGTCTGGCCTGTGCTGTAGGGGCTTCTCTGTCCTCTGGAGGTGCCAGTGGAGAAGGCACTTTCCTAGGAATGGGAACAAGGGGCCCCCATAAAGGGCTGCTTTTGGCAGGCAGGAACTGGGAGCCAGCCCTGCCACTCCTCTGGTCCTGAGCACATCTCTTCTGGAAGTAGCTGGATGCTACTGTCTGAGCCAAACTATCTGTTTTGGAATTGGCTACTGGTTGTCTGGTCTATCGGTCCAGCATGGTTACTGGGAGAGGGGAGACCCTAGACAGATCTGGTGATTTTGTCATCAGTCTGGAGGACTCCCTTCTCGTGGGACAGTGGTGCTGTGGAGGTGTCCTGGTGTCCTTGCACAGTTGATTCTCTTGGGAACCAGCCAAAGGCCGTGGTTTCATTTCTGCTTTCAGGAGTTTTATCCTGCAGCAGTGCCCAGGGCCTGGAAGATGCTGCTCCATCTGTGGGGAGGGAAGGGAGCTGTAGGAAGAGCAGTAGGAGCAGGTCAGCCATGGTGAAGGTTTTCCATCAGCTCTCCTGAGTTGCTGGATGTGCTCAGCTGGTCCTTGACCCCAGGTACCATGTTCAGCATCTCCCTGGTCCTCGGTCCTCTGGCACAGGGGGAGTCAGGGCCAGCCCTGGAGTCCTGCACTCCCTTGGGCACATGGGTCAGTCTCTCAGGCCTTCCTTGTGGCTCATGGAGTGTGAGTCTACACCCGTTGGAGCAGGCACCTTGAATTCTCTGGAACCTTGCAGCCCCAGGGAAAACTCTTGCCTGCTGCCTTGGGCTCTCCTCTCCTGCCCACACCTGTCACTGGGCAAGCAGGTTGGATGGGTTTGGGATCACCATCCCTTACTTGGCCCTGACTCCCACCCTGCTCCCTCCTGGCCCTTGCCTATAGGGATGAGGTGGGAGTTTCTCAGGCCAGTGGGTGCTTGCAGCACCTGCAGAGTTGTTCCACCTGATCTCCTCACTGTTGCTGCCCCATTCTGTCTTTCTTCAGGGCCTCTGGGATGCCTGTGGGAGTTCCGCAGGCTGTGGGTGAGTCACCATTGTGTTTGCTGTGGGATGGGAGTTTGTCTTTCTGCCAGGAAACTGGTTCCCAGCAGCTGGCAGAAGGTAATGCAGGTACCCCATGCAGGTACCTGGCAGGCAGATGGAGGGAACTGGGTGCTTCTCAGGGCGTCGGGGGCTGCTGCCATCCCTGCCACACTCTGGGTTGCTTGGTGTCATGGATTTGCTCCAATGGCCTCGGTCTGCCTTCCTGCACAAGCTGTTTGGGGACACTGGGAGGGCTTTCACCCAGATGTCAGTGAGAGAGCAGATGGAAGAGGTGGGAAATTTAAAGTTTGCAAGTGAAATGAAGCCCCAGGGGCATCTGAGTTGGTAACAGCAATCCCTGGCCTGCCGCGGCACATTCTGGCAGAGCTCAGGAGCTGCAGCAGTAGGTGTTGGTGTTTCTTCGTGGAAGCCCATGTCCTGTTGCCTGCTCAGCTCGCAGTGCCCCCATTCTATGGTCCATATGCTGCTCTGGCTTCTCCCCTCTTCCCACCAAGTTGGTATTTGCCATTCATTTGCACTCTCCCACTCAGAGCCCTTCCCAAGTCTCCTTGTTCCGCCTCAGACCTCACTACACCAGGAGTTACTGGCCCTTTAACTCCAGCTGCATTTTGCCCTGCCCAGACACCCTGTGGCGTTGTTGAAGCTCTTCCACCCATTCCAAACTAATGGAAGGGATTTGTCCCACATGTATTTTACCAAGTTTCCATCTCCCGCTGTGTTCTCAGATTCCGATTGTGACCACAGGTAGTTGTTCAGGTGCATCAGCAAAGTACTTGCTGGGAGCAGACACTCCTCCATGTGTTTCTGAAATACTGTTCCAGAACTGCCAGGGAGCTCAGGCTGCCACATGCTGTGTCATAGTGAGATGTCCTGGGCTGCAGATCTGAAATCCTTCCATGCAGCTGTTGCTTCTGGGAGCTCCTGTCAGCTCCTGTCCAGGTGACTACCTGCAGAGGTGGCGTGAGCAGAGTGGGAGTGAGCAGCCTTGTCTGGAGGAGATGTGTTGGTGATATGGGTGCACGGTTGGATCTTTCCCACATCATGAAGTCCAGGGAGGTGTTAGTGAAGACACAGTGTTGTCCCTGGTGTTCGCCGGCACAGGCCACTGCAGCCAAGACCATGGTGGTCCACAGGCACAAGAGATGTGTGCGAGCCTTGGGATCTGCTTGGATAAACCTTGAAACCAGCAGCAGAGATGAGTTTCACACACGAGTGTGAGCTTGGAATGCAACTGGAAAGGCGAAGATTGGAGTCCTGGGGACACACAATCCCAACTGGCACTGTGGCTGTCCTTATGAAACAGGGAAGGAATGAGTGGGATTTGGAGCCAGGCAGGCTCTGGGTGGCCTCGCAGCCTTGTGTCTAATGGGCTTAGCAGAGAGCAGGGCTCTCACTGTCCAAGGGGAGTGACCCTGGTCCTGTATTCTGGGATCACACAGAAGTGCCCTAGCCATTCCCCACTGAGCAGAGCCAGTGCTGCTGGGCAGGGTTGCATGGTCACTACTGCCCTGGGCCTCACTCCATACCTGTGTCTGGAAGGGCTTCAGACAGGTTCGTCTGGCTGTTTGCTGCCCTTCACTGTCAATTTCAAAACTTAAACATTTTATGGATAGAAAAGCTAGAGCAGAAAGACAGGAAAGGCTTTTGCAAGTCGCTCCATTGGGCAGGAGCAGTGCCTGTCTTTCTTGGTTGCCCAGAGAGGCTGTGTACTCCCCATCCCTGGAAGTGTTCCAGGCCAGGCTGGATAGGCCTTGGAGCAACCTGCTGTACTGGAAGGTGTCCCTGCCCATGGCAGGGGGTTGGAACTAAATGTTCTTTAAGGTCCCTTTCAACCCAAACTGTTCTGGGATTCTATGGATGTCACCCTGTTCTAGTCCTGCGCTGCACGCCCTGCCCTGGCACAAGGCTGCGTGGGCAAGCAGTGTTCCTGCAGTCGTGCCCCAAGTCAGCCTGTCTCTCTCTGACTGTCCTCTCTCCTCCTGCCCCAGGCCACCAACGGTGGAGGAGCCTTCAGTGACTACTCCTCCTCTGTGCCCTCCACCCCAAGCATCAGCCAGCGGGAGCTGCGGATCGAGACCATCGCTGCCTCCAACACCCCCACCCCCATCCGCAAGCAGTCCAAGCGGCGCTCCAACATCTTCACGGTAAGCGGCAGGGGGGGCCTGGGAGTTCTGGGGTGGATTTTCAGGAGGAAGGGAGCAGGTGACGGCAGCCTGACCCCACAGTCTCTCCTGCATGGTGACCTGTGCTGTGCTGGTAGGAGGGCAGGGTGACGGGGGATGCAGGAGTGTGTGTGTGGGAGGGACCTTCTGCGTGTGCAGGGACATCATGGTGCTGAGAGCTGCTTCTGTCAGGTTGTGCGTGCATGGGGGAGTACCTGGCAACAGAACATTCCTTGCACATGTAGGAGTGTGCATGGATGCACTCGTGTGTGTGTGTACAGTGTGTGTGAGCAGAGCTCCTGCTCGTTACTGGGAAGAATATGTGCACAGCACCAGTGACTTGGCTCTTCCTCTTCTTGGGGTTGCGTCCCCTGAGTGTGGCACGGAGTCCCTGACCACTGGGCCTCCAGTTTGGTGCCAGTGATGCTGTGCCCAGTGGTGCTGTGCAGAGCCCAGCACCTGGCATAGGGCCCCACTTGCTCCAGTTCCCAAACCCTGTGTCTGTGTGACTTGAACAGCGCACCTGGGAGCTGCGGGGGGCACGGAGGGAGGGGAGGCAGCGAAGCCGTGGGCCCCGGGTGGAGCAGGGTGCGTTTGCAGCTCTTAGCTGTGTTGGTTGCCTTGCAGCCTGCCTCTCCGCACGCTCTCACACCATGCACACACTGACCACGCAGTGTGCACAGTCCTGCCCTCACACTCACCCTCGCTGTTAGTGCAGCCATGAGTGTTCCCTCGCTGTGAGCACACACATGTCCCCGTCCCGTGTCTAGTGTAGGTGTAGCCTCTGTTCCCTGTGTATGTGTGCAGGCTCCGGCCTCGCTCCTCTCCCCATCTAAATGTGCTTTCCAGCCACCATTGCTCAGCACACTGTGTCTGCTGTCTGTGGAACCGACCACCACAAAGTCCTTGTACCTGTTGCACCGTGTCACTGTTGTGAACAGCCACCATTGCTCTGGGCCCAGACCACACAAATCAGTGTTCCACGCCCCATCCCTCTCACTGCACCATTGGCATCCTAGATTCCCCACTCCTTGTGCTGGGAGTGTGCCCATCTCCCTTGGCTTCTGACATCCTAGAAGCTTCTGTGCTGATGTCCCGAATGCTCCATGCACTCCCCTGGATTGCATCCCATGCACACCCAGCTTTCTGTGCACGCTCCTGCCCCATCCCTGTGCTGCAGGTGGGTGGGCTGTGCCCCCCACCCCTTCCTGCCAGCGCACACCGCCCCTCACAATGGGTGCCCTGCTCCTGACGCATGGTTGTTCCCTCACTGCCCTCCCGCTCTGTGTGCTCACCCCCCTGCAGATGTCCCGTAGCTCTCGCGTTGCTGGTGGCTTTGCCCCCACTGCACCCGGTGCTGACGGATGCTCCCCCTCCCCGCCGTTCTCTCGCTCATGCTTGCTGCTGTGCCCTGGTGTGCGCGGGCGCTCATGCTGTGCCACCCATCCTGCTCGCTGTGCGCCGACGGGTCTGGACTCGCCGTCAGCTCATGTTCACGCTCTCTGGAGCACCATGCTCACTCACTTGGGATGGGCACACGCTCAGGGGGAGGATGAGGGTGGCTTGCTGTGGGGCTTTCGCTTGTTCACTGTGGATGTCATCATCCGTGTAGGGCTCTCACGTGCTCACTCATCCTGGGCTCACGCTTACTCACTGCTGTGGGCTCACCTGTGCTCGTCCGGCGCGGCTGGGGCTCACCTCACCTGCTTGCTCGTGTGCTGGTGCACATCCATGGCTCACGTTGACGTCTTCACCCATCTGGTCGTGGCAGCAG